GTCATTAGCACCTCTAGTAATATATTTACTGAGAAAAATGGTGACGTGTTCAATACTTATTTTACCTGCTGTAGATATGCATTTTTGTTGCTGTGTTTTTGTTATCTCTGTTTCTGTACAACCAAGATGTCGGGTGTGTTGTTTTGTGGTTTCTCTCTATATATTACACATATCTTCTAATCTCTCTTTCACTCTTTCCTATTACGTTTCACTTTTTTTCTCTTACTTTTTCTTCTTAAAAAAGGTCATTGATGATGAAGAAGTTAAGAAACTTATATTCAATTCTGCTTTCTACTGAAGTGGCTAAAAAAGGATTACAAAATGCAGGTATGTACAAACTGTAAATATAGTCTGCCTTAAAACTACTTTGTACATATTAAGAGTTACTAGAAGTTGTCACGATGTTGACAAATATTTGCAAACATTTTGCAACAACGACGCGGAAACGTTTAATGAGATATGCTGACGATACTCGGAAACTTCACGCTGTAATATGCCACAACGTAACATGAAATGCTACTGCAACCTTTTGAAAGACATTAATAAAACCTCAAGCTGGGACTCAAGACCTTCTGATGCCTTGGTGAGACTTCTGAATTGGCCGAGGTGGTAGATGTCAAAGCCAACCCATTCATGGGGCACCTCTGTACCACAGAGCAAAACGGCCGACATATTAAARAAGATAAACTGGTACCACGGCTCAATAATGTAATGAAATTATGACATCTGGTCTGTGTGACCAACAAGGTATAGGATTAAACAACAAACAGATTTATTACCAAGAGAATATCGATGAGAAGGGATCACTAAACTGAGTTGATTCATTGTGTTCTGAAAACTGTAGGCAGTTTCATGCAATGTTAAAATAGAACTGCAATGCTTTGCTCTGAATTCCTCCATATTGCAACTCCACAAGCCCCTCTTTCATCCCTTTGTTGAGGCGTGTCTCAAATCAACTCATTCTGAGGCTGTCTYTTTAAATCCAAAGGTGGAGCTTCACACTCCGCCCCCTCCACCTTCCAGACCGGCCCATTCTAATTTGATATATGGGTTTCTGGATATCTACTAGAGTTAGGCAAAATTGCATCGTGTGCAATTAATTGTCAGAAAAACTTTAATCTATTATTTTTTGGCATTTGACAATTAATACGATTATTGCCACCAGGCAGACTGACTGGAGATTTCTCTGTTCAGTCCGCTCGATGCTCCTCTCTGCTTCAAATATGATGAGCATTTAAAAAAAGTTATTTACTTTATTTATCATAACTCCGGTTTTACTTAGTCAATCAACACAATGTAAAAGTTGATGTATAGTCAGAAGTCTTTTAACACAATTTGGAACAGATTTTTACGGAGAGCAAACCTTTCTCACTAGGGTGATTTAAATTGGTCATATAAAAAGGCCATGCAGGTGTCCAGGAACTCTAGGGGATTAATCGTCATATTAATCGTTTTCAGCTAAATACCACAGTTAATCATGATTAATTTTTTTGCCAATATTACCCAACCCTAATATCTACCAGAGTCTGACCCACAGCAAGGGGGGAATGAAGACAACAAAATTGTAGTTGGTAAATCCAGACGTATCCATCCACAAATAGTGTGGCATAATAGTTCAGAAAACATCATAGAAAACAGAGAAAACTGAACAGGTTGGAAATACGACCCAGAAATAATATATTTATGAAGCACCTGGAGAGATTGAATTACAATTTTCTACACTCCTAGAGACTCCAAATACACAACAAAATCCATTTAATGGCTAAAAAAAACAGATTTTACTTAATAAGCTAAGTCTGGTTTACACTTTAATATACTGAAAGTTGACTTATAGTTTACTAGCAGTAAACTTTCATTGTCCTTTTTTAGTTTATAACAGTACACTTTAAAGAAACACTGAAATTAATCTTTTAGGTTTGCTGTTATTTTAGTAACATATTTCTAGTTCACTTTTTAGTGTTGAAAAATACATTTTCCAATAAGCTTCAAGCTACTCTTTTAACGATGAGTAAGTATTGGAATTTTTTGAAAATGTTAAAAAAGTGTATTTTTAATGTTTCAGTGAGAATACTGGGACTTTCTCCAGAGAACGTGTATGAAACTGATTTATCTTCATTTATGCTTGATAAATGTTGGCGAAATCATTTTTTTCTCCTATTTCTGTTTTTTTTTTTTTACATGAAATTCTTCGTGAAACTCGTTAAAGTCACGTGATGATGAGAGTAAAAAC